AAAGACTTACTTTTCATTTAAAGGCACCTGAGCATCCATTGAAAGCAAAAAGTAAGAGCTTTTGTATTGACTTTCTAAATTGGTTCGATTATATTGTCTTTTGGTCTCTTTTCTACAAGGAATATAAATACTTTACGGATGGTCATTTGACCACATATACAGTTGACAGATGTGTAGATCCGAAAAGCATGGTCAACCGAGCTGACGGTAAAGAGAACTCCTCTCATTGCTTTCTTCTTAAGAAGTGAAACGAGTTGATCAAAAGGAAAAAGGGATTACGGAGTGTAAAAGTCAAAATGAATGTAGTGTGAAATTACATTTGAGCCCGCACGATTATCGCTTTTGCACTTCAAAACTTTGCACTGGTGATGAAGTGTAAGGACTTGAAGTGCAAAATTGTAGATTGAGATGCTCATCTGGAGTTTTACACATAGTCGTTTTGCACTTCAAAATGCAGTGTAAAATGGGTTGTGTTCCCAGAGCCTGCGGAGGTACCCTGCTTTCCATGTTCTAGGAAGAGGGGTGTGAGAGTCTTGTGCGGGCGGGAGAGAAGGCTCGCTCGTGACAGGTGACAAAACACCTGTCACGAGGTGGTAGAGCCATCGATGGGGAGAAGAGAGAAAACAAAGTTTTCGCCTCTCTACTCCTCCACATCTCCTCTCTCCCTCACGCCGCGGGGGTCGGGATAGGGGAAAGATTCGAGTCTTACCCCTCATACCCCCGACTCCTGAGGCCCACCCCAAACCACTTCAAGTAGGATGCTTACCAGATAGGATGGTATTCATACTGTGGTAGGATAGTCCTTGAGAAAGGAACCTCCTCTCTGATAATCCAAGTACTGGATCTCAGAGAGGAGTATCAGGTTATTAAATCCATACTAGATAATAAACTAGCCGTCTTTACATGGACGCCTCACTCTCATATCCCTCTCGACGCAGAAATGGATATGAAGTGTGAAATTCCATTTCATGAGTGGTGAAATGGAATTTTACACTGCATATTTTGCACTACTTGTTTTACACTCTGGAATCTTGTGGAGATGCGGTGTAAAATTCGATCTGTGACGGTGCAGATGGAATTTTACACTACAACTTTTTTACACTCCATATGTAGTGTAAACCTCGGAGTGCAAAATTTTAGGGACCCTTAGACAAACAGATATCTACACGAGTTCTGAAAACAAAATACAAATGCACGAAATAACGGTAAGTAAATAAGAAAATAAGGTGAAAATTTGGGGGGACATGAGAGGAGAATCATGAAAAACATCTTTTTTTCTAGACTTGAAGTCGAACTCTTGTAGTACCTATAACTAGGGAAATAAACGAAATTATGGCTGTGATGACAAGTATATTAGTGGTAGGGGGTTTGTAAGTTAGTAGAGACAAAGGAAATTAGTTATAAATTAATTAATTGGAAATTTGACGTAGTGTCATAGTATGTGTGAAGGGCAAAAAACACATGAGAATATAAATTTTCTTGTGACTAAGAGTTATTAATGTTTTTCGGAACGGCCAGTTCGATATTCTTCCTTTTTTGGGTGGGAAGAAACCTAGAAAACGACCAGACTGAATAGTCCTATGAGCTCTGCGAAAAATCTAGAGTGGCTGGAACTAGTAATTTAGAGGTGCGGGGAATGAGGCGAAGATTCCAAAGACGCGGGAATGATGGAGATTCGGTGAAGGTAGTTGCGAGATACCTTGACGCTGACTGGCGAGGAATCCAACATTCTCTATCCGAGTCTTTGGGGCAACATCGACAGGACCAAGCATTGACATCCCCAACTGCAAGCTATCGCGGATACATTCGAAATGATTTCGAGATCTGCAGTTCGTCGTTTTCATGTGTCATCCATCTTGCTGACTCCACTTCCTTAATCGAACACCAGCCACGATCATTGTGAGGAAGAGAATGAAGGAGTAGCTTGAGTAGCACAATCTCTTTGTTGATCATCAGGATCGGGCTCAAAAGGGCAAAAAAATACCTGTACTCCCAAAGTTTGAACAGCCTCAGGCGCAAGACCGAGTGCCTCATTCTCACACACATGATGACCGATGTAGTGTAGAACGATATTTTTGATTGAAAAAGAGAAATTGATAGAAACTAAAGAGATATACAAACCTGGACAACTTTCGAAAAGAAATAGTGAGAAAGGAAACAAGACAAAGCCACGAACACATGACATCAAACTTTTCAAGAAAATCACTAACAAATACACTCAACAAAAACAAAGGAGAAAAAGTCAAATGAAATACAATGATACATATATATATTTTTATAGATGCCACAAAGACATAGATGAAATCTCTCTAAATGAAACTAGAGCTATATGGTACTGCTTTAGATGAAAATACGAATCAATCCACCACAAGAAACCCCCGATAATAATATCTACCCTTTTCCCGTTCACTCCAACTAATACCTTATCCTCATTTTCAGTTTGGCATCCAAGAAAATTCAGGATAATTCTCCTCATTGCCTCTGTAGCCTGAAGTGCGGAGATACCCAGGAGCATTGATGGGCTGTAGTCGTGGGAAGACCGTGTAGGGTGTGACGTAGCAAGATGCTACACCAGATGCCTGTGGTATATAGCCGACTTGTGCACCCCCTACTTCGAGAAATCCGGCGAGCCTTAGGGATCGAGGAGCTGGAATATTTGTCGACATCGTAGCTAGCGGAAGAACAGTCGCAGGTGTAGGGCGTGGATGTCTGAGATTGGTAGGCCTAACTTGGGTGGAACCGAAAACCGAGCGGGTGACGGGAGGAGCAGGGACGTTTGTGTAGTGGTTATTGTATCGG